TCGATTGTAAATATAATTAATAAGTACACATTACATGAAAAAATGTATTTTTATTGTGGGAAATCATATACTGCAAAGCAGTGAAAACCAAAACTAGGAGGGTGTCGAACAGCAGATATTGCAAGGAGCGGAAAACTAAAACTGGGAGGGTGTGAAAAAGCAGGTATTGCAAATAGAGGAAAACCATAACTGAGTTCGTGTGGAAATTCTGTAATGCGGGAAGTCGAAAAACAAGTGGATTTTGGCCTGCATTTAACTGCCAGAACCACTGGAATTTGGCCAGCATTTAATATCATATCTTTATTATTTTTGATATTTTCAGAAGACAGGGTTACAAGACATGGATACCTAAAGCCTACATTCGGCCAAGCGGGAAACCGGAACGCTTTTTAACAATTTTTAATTCCAATGCTTCGACTGTAAATATTATTAACAAATACACGTAAAAATACTACTGGGGAAAAGTCCGCTTTTTTGGCATAGCACTATGGGGCATTTGACCACTTTTCTTGGCCGAAATTAATAACTCGGTCAATTCAAAAGTTATTGACTTGAAACTGTACCAGTCGCCATTATTTATCCCCACGCATATTCTATATGAGAATCATCCGGATCGGACAACTATATCATATAGCTTCCATAGAAACGATCAAATTAACTTTGCTGTTTTTGGAGATAAATGCACATAACTATAGAAATAGCAATTATGTCAGTTTTTAAAGCAATATTAAAAGTTTCGTACAAATTGGACGACTATATCGTACAGTTCTCAAAAAGAAGTGCAAAGGAAAGAATTTACTCTACATTTGTGCGACTTTTTGTTCAAGTTGTAGCGCAACTTTCGTTTTAAAGTCGCTAAAGTCCACTTAAGTTAGTGAATTACAAAGCTAAGTATTTCTTCTCTATTTTGATAATAATTTAAGGCCAGAAAAGTCCTTACTTCCTTAGCCCCCATTGCAAACGATAGGAAAGTGTGAAATTTAAGGTTATGGTCTAAAAAATTAAATTACAGGAAAAGTGCAAATAAGTGGCGATTTTGTCCATATACATTTTAACAACAATTAAATAATCTACAAATCCCAATAGGTTCCAGAAGTGGACTCCGCTGGACTCACTTCGTTGCTCCATTTAAAATTTTGTTTTCTTACGAAAATGTACTTGTTAGACCACTCCCTTTAACACTCATTTATAAGAAAAAACCGTCTGATTTTTGTCGTCTAACCACACAACTACTTAGTACATAGCATAATCCTTTAAATCCAATCCAAAAAGTTTACTTAGATTGCTTAAAAACTCAAATTTAAGCACTTTAAATCTGCAAGCAAAAAGTCGATATAAGGCAGCCCGATAATTGAATTTCAAACAGCTGATTTAACAGCTTCTAACCTAACAGAGGCGACCTCTGTCGGATTTCTGTAAACGTAACATTGTTAAATGGTCTTCTGTTAACACATCATCAAACAACATTTTTTGTTTTAACGACTTTTAAAAAATGGGTTTTGGCCAACCAAGGTGGTCAAATGCCCCATAGTGCATAGGCACAAAAAATAAAAGTTACTAATTTAAAATCAAATATTTTTTTTAAATACTAAAATGGTTAAACTTTTTAAAACAATTTTTAAAAAAATGTTACGCGCCACTGATAATTTGTTGTAGCCGATCAAAAACTATCGATTAACGTGCTTATCTCGAAGAAAAAACGCGCTAATTTTACTTCAAAGTTTCCCAAAGGCCTGAAAAGTGTTTAGAGGGCTACCAAATAAACAAAACAAGAGAGAACACTATAGTCGGGTTGGGTTCCCGACTATCTAATACCCGTCACTCAGCTAAAGGGTGTGCGAACGCTGTACTGGATAGTGCGAGGGAGATAGATATATACATTTTGATTGCGTATAACTTTTTAATGAATGGTCCGATTTGAAAAATGTCTTCTACATTTCGATAAGTATAAATATACACAACAAAATTGCATTTATACTTCTCGGAAATCTTTAAAGATGTGGGCGCAGGACCCATTTTAAAATCGTTAGTTGGCGATTGTGGGCGTTAGTGGGGGCGTGGCGCTCGGCTAAAATAAACTTGCGCTGCGTAGGAAGCCAAAGAATATGTGTGGGAAAACTCAACCTTCTAGCTTTTGTAGTTTCTGAGATCTCAGCGTTCATACAGACGGACAGACGGAGAGACGGACAGACGGACATGGCTAGATCGACTCGGCTAGTGCCCCTGATCAAGAATATATATAGTTTATAGGGTCGGAAACGCTTCTTCTACCTGTTACATACTTTTGCACGAATCTAATATACCCTTTTACTCTACGAGTAACGGGTATAAATATGGAAAATTTACGTGAAGGTATGCTTAAATACTTCTCAAACGAATTGTGTTGTAACTGTTTGCATTGTCCAATTACACCAGTTTACAAAAAAAAATTGATAAAATATACCACGAATGATACCTTTGTAAGGTACGTCTTCCTGATTAAGAAAATGGCACTTACAATTTTTTTTATGGATAAAATTTTTTTAAGTGTAAAAAACGTTTTTGACACTTTTATAATTTCTAACTTGAGTTTTGGTTAACCGATTTCAACCAAAAATCACTAATTTTACAGGTAATAGAATGCCCTCCAACTTTCTTATACACTGCATTGAGTTCTATTCATTAGTTTAGAAGCTACACTTCGTCAAAGTTGGACAAGTGAGAAAAAATGCAAAAATGCTGGCATAAATGGCATCGTTAAAATTTTACGCCTAAAAACCGAAATTAGTTTTATGAGTTATACTTAAAGATACATCTTTAAGTCAACTAACAAGACCATCAACAAAAAATTCAATCAATAGTTCGATTTTATATTGATTTTTTACGTTGGGAAAAACGGGTATTACAGCTCTGTTAAAGCCCTGTTGTGTCAGTTAACGGTTGTAAACGGCCAAAAAAAACACCGTTGTCGCAAGCTTCAAAAATGCATATCAAATTAATTTGCTGGTGGATTGTTATGATCAATAGCTTGTTTTTTTGTCAAAGCACCTTCTACCAGTAGAAGTTATAAAACTAATTTCGGTTTTTAGACGTGTATTTTTAACGAAGCCATTTATGCCAGCATTTTTGCATTTTTTCAAACTTTTTCAACTTTGACGAAATGTAGCTTCTAAACTAACGAATGGAACTCAATGCAGTGTATAAGAAAGTTGGAGGGCATTCTATTACTATATGTAACAACTCAAGTTAGAAATTAAAAAAGTGTCAAAAACGATTTTTACATTAAAAAAATTTTAAGTGCCATTTTCTTAATCAGGAAGACGTACCTTATCGGAAAACAAAGGTTTCATTCATGGTATATTTCATCGATTTTTTTTTGGAAACTGGTGTTATTTAATGTCTTGTGTATGTCTACTTTAGCTGAAAACTAACAAAAGTGTTTGTGTTCTGTTAAGCTTTAGTTAAAAATCTACACAGATCGACGCAAGGTTGTTATAGAAATGTATTACCAGCAAAATAAAAAAAACAAGTGTTATTATTGCTTTTTGCCCGTTTTTGCCCCTTTAAAAAAAAACACAACCAAATTTGTAACATTTTGGTTTTTTTCAGAGGCTTAAGGTGGAGGATAATAACAATTTTTAAAAAATTTGACCATAATGGGGTGGTGGTATATTTTATGGGTGGTGTTTTTACAACCATACGGTTTTTTCAAAAAATGGAAAAAACCGAAATTCTATTTTTGCATAAGGAGTATATATTATAATTTTCAAGGCTCTATCTTAAAACTAGATTTTATGCCAAAAAAACGGACTTTTGTGGAAATTCAGTTTAGTGGGAAGGCAAAAAACCAGTGGATTTTGGCCTGCATTTAACAGCCAAAGAAACACCTAGAAATCACATTTACCCCTTACTCATTAAAAAGTTACCATAAGTCTGTTATAAACTTGATACCCACTATTATTTTTAATTTGGATGTATACTTTTAGTTTTTAGTAGTTATACCAGTTACTCGTTGAGTAAAAGGGTATATTGTATTCGTGCAAAAGTATGTAACAGCTAAAAGGAAGCGTTTCCGACCCCATAAAGTATATATATTCTTGATCAGGGTCACTAGCCGAGTCGATCTAGCCATGTCCTTCTGTCCCTCCGTCTGTCTGTCCGTATGAACGCTGAGATCTCGGAAACTACAAAAGCTAGAAGGTTGAGATTTCCCACACATATTCTTGGGCTTCCGACGCAGCGCAATTTTAGCCGAGCGCCACGCCCCATCTAACGCCCACAATCGCCCACTAACGATTTTAAAATGTGTCTGGCTCCCACACCTTTAAAGATTTCCGAGAAGTATAAAAGCAATTTAGTTGTGTACCTATCGAAATGTAGAAAACATTTTTCAAATCGGACCGTTCACTAACCCTCTAAGACGTAAGCATGCCTCAAGGCACGTATTATTTTCGCGCGAAAAAACATAAAATAAATGATAAGTCTCGTTAGAAGCTTCGGAGAGCTTTCAAGCCTGAGACTCATAATTTTGTCTGCCTTTTATCAACCGCCAAAAAATATTTAAACAATTGAAAAGATGTTAGTTTATTTGTTAAGACCAAAAACGTAATACGTGCCTTCAGGCACGCAAGTCTTAGAGGGTTAAAAAGTTATGCACATTAAAAAAAAATGTATATATCCATCTCCCTCGCACTCCCTTTAGCTGAGTGACGGGTATTAGATAGTCGGGACACCAATCCGACTATAGCGTTATTTTTGTTGTTTTCTATTTTTGCCAGTAACTAACATTGAAATATAAACAATTTTTATTAAAAATGTATGTTTTTTGACACATACATTTGTAAATCGGACCAATCGTTAAAAAGTTATGCGCGATTTAAGTTTTATATATCTATTTCCCTCGCACTCCCTTTAGCTGAGTAACGGGTATTTTTTCTATTGCTTTATTTTGAATTTTTGAAAATTTTGTAATATGGCAGACCACAAAAATAAAAATGCCTTAATTCCATGTTGATACATACCTCTTGCGTGGTCGGATGCTCTTTTAAACTCTGGACTATCTCTTGTTCAAAGAGTGCAGCGATGTTTTCGTTCTCTTTAGTGTTGTGCATCACAGTGGCGTCCGAATCGTCCAGCAACTCGTCATCGCTCGACGGGCCAAACTCGGCTTCGCTGAAGTGGCTCTGGTCCTCGGGCGGCTCCTCGGAGGTCTGCTCCTGCCAGCAGTACTTGCTTACCACTGGGCAGAAACTCACCTCCTTGCCAAAGGAGTGGCGCGATCCTGCTGGCAGCAGGATACCCAGAGGCTTCGACTGCGTTGGCATTTGGGGTAAGTGGTGCATTGAAGTGTGAGCACTGCTCACGTAGATGTCGTCCTCCGGCTCCCGGCGTCCGTCGTCGCAGACCGAGAGATTGGGAGTGCTGTTAACAAAACTGCGCTGTTTGCCAAACGACTTCTGGAACTGGGACTGAAAGCGGCGCTTTGGTAGGGACCTCTGCGGGGTGGCCGTATCGGTCGCCTCCCGCACCTCAAAGTGGTATTGCTCCAGGCTCTGGGCGTATGATGTGCGCAAGTTGGTCGGGTCCTGGTCGAATGTTTTGACAATGCTATTACGTGACAGGTTGACCTGCTGCTCTTGGGTCGGACGCTTTTGGCGAGGTGGTGCCCTAACGGTCAGTTGCACTTGCAAAACCTTTTTGGGTGAATTTGAATCGCAGCCATCTGGCGGAGTAGGCTGCTCTTCCAGGTCCGGCTTATCCGTCAGTATAGACACATTTTTATCGTAAATCTTGCTGATTTCATCCAGTAAAAAGTTACCCTTGCAAATAATTTGCTCATAGTTTCTTGCGTCAACGCTGCTTTGGTCCGACATTACTTCAGCCTGGATTCTTTTAAGGTTTTTTTGAAGACGGTCTACCGATGGAAGTTTATCTGAATAGTCCAAAAGCGTGAGGTTCTGGTAGCTGGCGTTCAAATACCCTGCACTAGCCACACCCACTGCTCTTTTAGCGCGATCGCTCCAGAAGCTGCGCCGGTTCCTGGACAGGCTGTGACAGTCAAGAAAAAAGTCGTCCCGCCTTTCCTCCCGCTCCAAGTCCAACTCCTCGCTGGAGCTACTCGCGCTGCTGTTGCTGTGACAGTTGCGATAGTTATGGGGAATATGACGTGAGCGTCGCCGTCGTCCAAACTGCTGAAGTTCGTTGAGAGAGTGGGTAGCAACTAGGAGCGAAGAACCGTCGCAGCTCTCGACGGAACTGCTGCTCCGGCTGCGGCGGACGTTGCTGCTGCTGTTTTTACTGGTGGTGGCCAGAACGTTGCCGTTGGCCACGTATTTGGATTCCGTGTTAATGATTCCGACTGTGAATGGACCTCGCGACTCGCGGATGTCGGGCAAACTGTTGCTCAGCCAAGTGAATGAGGCGGCGGACGACGTCAATGTCGATCCGGACGGCGATGGCAGCGGCGAAGTAGATTCCGATTGAGAGCAGGCCCTCTCCGGGGAACTATTAATAGTCGACGGAGAGCAGGGCGTTGCGACCGTGCTTATAGTCTGCTCTATTTTGGGCTGACACAAATCATGTATGCCAGTGAAGTTACGAGAATGCGGTGAGTTCTCCTCCAGCAACAGCAGCTCCTCCTCCTCTTCGCAGAGCTTTTCAAAATTCTTTGGTATGGATGTAGTTTTTTCCTGCTGCAGAGTTCTGGGCTCGCAATAGCCAGAGTCTTCAGAGAGGTTCTCTGCCGAGCTGGGCGGCATTCGCCTGGGGGCAGTGCCGTCTTGTCGTCCAGTTCCGGTTCGAGTTCTCCCTGCACCTCCGCTGACAAGACGCGAGCTAAGAAGGCTGTGACCGCTGCTATCGCTGGACGAGCTAGAGCTGGAATTGGAGCTATTCTCCGAGTCAAATATCAGTTGCTCCTGGTGTAGGCTCTCAGAGAACATGTCCCGCTGGTTCTCAAAGGTGAGCTTATTCAGCTCATAATATGTTTGATGCAGGCGGCTACAGTCGTTAGACTCAAACCGCTTTATCAAGGAGAGCGATGTGGCCGATCCCTTCCTGCTCTCCGGATTGCTGTTAGTAGGATAGCGACGGTGAGCTGTTCCCCAGACTGTTCAAACTCTGGTGTATCTCCTGGAGCGTAAATTGCCTTTCCAGGGACTCGAACTGCACCAGGGAGGAGCTGCGCGATAGCGAATGGTAGGAGTCGTTGTCCGAATAGAAGTCCTCGAAGCTGCCGCCTCGCCGACTGCCAGAGCTGCTCCGCTGGCTCTGGCTTCCGCAGTTGTCCCGAACACACGTCTCTAGAGAGACGCTCGTCTCGGGATCGGGTAGCAAAGGGCGCCGCAGCTGGACGCTATCCTCAAGGCTTTGACCAGAATCCGTCTCTAGGCTGCGCCTTGGTCGCTTTGGTGGACAGGCATAGTCCCGCTCAGACATGCCATCGACATCTTCATGGAAAAGCACAGTTAGATTGTATAGATTGTATAGAAATAATCTCCATCAGCTTACCATTAATTACTTCTATGCGTAACACTGAGCCCGTTTCGGACTCCGTGGAGTTCAAGAGGGTGGAGCGGTGCTCTTGGCAGTCACTCCACCTGCTCTGTGCAAGTTCCTCGTCCTCGCTGGTCTCCTCCATGATGGGCTCCAATATTTGCCGCGAGCTGGACAAGTACGCAGCATCTTCTGGAGATCGGGGAAGATAATTAGTTTTAAAGCTATCGGGCAAATATTTTCCCTAAAGTCTTTTCTGTTTTGCAGGTATTATGTGGGTCGGAACGAGGCGGATCGGACAACTATATTATATAGCTGCCATAGAAATAAACGGTGAAAAAATGAAAAAAACCTCCTACATTTGGAAATACCATTTTCTATCTAATTTTGAATTATAAATTTTATCAAAATCGGACGACAATATCATATAGCTGCCATAGGAACGATCGGAAAATTAATGGGAATATAGTTTAATGTTAAAATAAGTTTTTTTTATTATATGTACTAAAACTACATGGTTAAACGAACAAGAACTATTTTAAACCATATTTAAATGGTCGCAAATGCGAATTGAGTTTTATAAAATAAAACTCACACATAACACAGGCCGACGAAATGTGACATGGGTCGGTGTCCAGACCTGCCACCATTTTATTTCGATAAATGAGGTTTTCTAAGCATTATATGCCACTACGCCTATAGTCCATCAGCTCTGGTACCTGCAGTATCTTTAATTTAAGGGGGGTAGAGTCTTGCAAAAAAAAATTTGGATTTTTTTTAAATTTTGTTTCTTGTAGATTAACATCTTAAGATTACCAAATGGGATAAGAAAAATACAATTAAGCAAGGGTGCATAACAGGCGACATATAATTACAAAAACGGGTTAAGTAAATTGCATTCCAATACACATATAATCCGAGATCTATTTGTTTAATTTTAGAAACAATAGTTATTCAATTAATTCCGACGAGAGATTGCATCTTAAATCTTCAGGTCCGAAAAAGAGCGTTCTACGAAGACCTGAGTACCTCTAGAACTAAGAAAATAAATACTAGAGCCCTGCACAAGTAACCTGACTTGTTTGTCAAACCTTAAACCAAAGAGAATACATTATATAGAGAGGGCATAACTCTGACTTTCTGTTCAAACTGTTGTCGGCAAGGGGAAAAGGGGGAAAGAGCTTGTTCTATTTTTAGAATTCGTTTATTGAGTACACAATGCATAAGTGTAAGTGGGCTTTGTGTGTATGTGTGCGAGAACGTGGCAACAAATTTTCGAGAAAATTTCATTTTTGTAATTTCTATAATCTAGGGCCAACAACATTTAAAAGTCGAAAAGGGTTTTCTGTCCAACATTTTCAACTCGGTCTATGGTCGTGCTGGTTAAAGCGTTGATCAGCGATGTTGATGCGAGTTCGATCCCCACAAGGGGCAGACGTTTTCTAATATTGTTTTTTTCTTTTTTTGATGTCTCGAAATATATATACTTTTTTTTATTATTTTAGTTAAAAGCTAAAAAATTTTTTTATATTTCTTTTCTTGTAGATTAACATCTTAAGATTATACAAAAAAGTTTTAAGTCAATCTCAAAGAACTTTGGAAGCTAGGATGTAATTAGTAAAATTTTTCTAAAAAAAATAATTTTTGATTTTGCACGGCTTAATAAAATATTTAAAGTAAAAAAAAAAATAAAACTTCCCAGGGCGGGTTTTTTCTATTCTTAAACGAAATGTAATTTTTGGCGGAGATACAGTGAACACCGCAAAACGTCTTTTTAAAGTGCTCTATACGTGTTTTACATATGGGCACTTCCAAAATGTCGCTCGGGACATTTGCACACCTTTAAAGTTGAAAAAAAATTGTAAAACAATGGATTTTAATTTTAATTATGGGCTTTTCTTTTCACTCTTCCCAAGCTCTATTTTTGGTAAAAATCTTGATTTTGTACCACTTTTAGTTTTTAAGATATCGGTAAAAAACTGCCGTATTCGCTCGGGACAAAAATAGAAGTGGATTTCGGGGAAGTTCATACAACACCAGAAATTAGCGAATTCTGATGGAATATTTTAATGCGATTTTTTTAGAATGTTGTTTAAACATGTCGCTGTGAAATGCTTTTTGTTTTACTCAAAAATTCTTTGCCGTTTTTTTTTTATGCAGTTTCAACCACATTCGCTCGGGACATTTTTTCCGACTGTTTTGTAAAGCGGATTTCTTTACCTCTATCTCTCAATTGCTGGATGTTTTGCTTTTAACTTAATAGTTTAGCATGTGAATGAAGCATTCAGTACAGAAAAATGTCACATATTAGCATTCCTATAGGATAAATTAACAACAGAAGACAAGTCCAAAAAATAACAAAAAAATAGCCAAAAACTGATTTTTGCGTATATTGGTCGGGTTTGTCATAAAAATAATCAAACTATACTCCAAACTTGTAGTTAAGCTCAGTATCCAACTAATTAGAAACTAATATCGGGGCAAAATCATGTGGAAATATGTTTTATTCAAGTTTCAAGGTTTTTGGCTTGGTGGACTTTTTTTTGGAAGTGCCCATATGACATGTTTTTCTCGAAACCACGTTTTTAAAAGTCCGTGTTCATCGGCATTTCTAAACGGCTCAACCGATCGTTTTTAAATTTGTCGCATATTTTTCTGCATAAAAAAACCCGCCCCCAGGGAATCGTTTTTTTTTTTTAAACTTTAAAAATTTTTTTGTTAAGCCCAAATTCAAATTTTTTAGCTGAAAAACGCATTTTTAACTTTGGAAAATCAAAAAAAATTCTTAAAATTAAAAAAGTAAAGAACGGGCTTCCTAAGGGCTGGTTTTTTTAATTCTTAAGCGAAATGTAAAAACAAATGTAAAAATGGAAATCCAATAATTTTTGGCGGTGGTAAAGAAATTATTCGATGTTATTTAAATAACACTCAATAATATACAAAAGGTTTGAATTAAATCCATCTTAACAGTTTTTATAGAAAAAATCAACAAAAAAATTACAAAATAGAAAAAAAACAAAATACTCTTAAAAAACAAAAAAAAAAAAAACCCCCGCAAGAAATTGAAATTCTACAACGGGATTCGATCCCCGTACCGCTTAGATTGGTAGTCAGATGTCTTATCCACTGGGCCAAATGGCTAGCAGTGCTGCGGCCGAATAGATTCCAAGTAGAATCGAGCAGTGCGGGTTCTACTGTTAAAATGCGGGTTCCACCGCTAGAACCCGCCATACGACAGACTCTTTTGTATGACATGTCCTCTCTATATATTTATACTCTTTGCTTAAACCCAACCGACCTACTTGAAACCCATTTGACTTGGGTCGTTTGGGTTTGGGTATTTGGGTAAGTGAGTCAATTTTTACCCAAACCCAAACGACCCAAACCCAAACGACCCAAGTCAAATGAGTTTCAGGTAGATCAGTTCAGGCTTAAGGTTACCCAAAGAAAAAAAATGGATTTTTAAATAAGACGATGATGACAATTTTCACAGCTCATCGACCCGTCGCGAATTCTTAAGGTCAAGATGGTTATCTGTGTATAATATTTAAAATTAAAAGATACGATATGTCGACATTTGTTTCCACATCCTCCGCCCATGCGAATTCTTTTGGTCTTCAAATATTACAGATGTATGATCCACAAAAACAAATTCTCTTGCTCTAAAGAATTCGCGGTTTTTGAAAAATCAATATAGAACATATTATTAGGATTCTTAGTTAAGTTATGTATGATCCACACAAATAAATCCTCTTGTTCCTTAGAATTCGCGGTTTGTGAAGAATTAATAATTATAGAGCCAAGTATAAGCATTAGTGCCTTAGCTAAGAAGAACACGGTCCAACCAATCTGAAGATCCTCCTGTTCTTAAGAATTCGCGGGTTGGAAGATTTAATATAAAATCTATGGAAGTTCTTAAATTAATCGATTTTTTCAAAAACCGCGAATTCTTAGGATTAAGAGGAGATATTTGTGTGGATTATACATAACTTAACTAAGAAACCTAATGGTATATTCTATATCGATTTTTCAAAAACCGCGAATTCTTAGGAACAAGAGGATTTATTTGTGTGGATCATACATAACTTAACTAAGAAACCCATATGTATATCCCATGTTTATTTTTCTAAAACCGCGAATTCTTTAGAGCAAAAGAATATGTTTCTGTGGATCATACATCTGTAATATTTGAAGATCAAAGAATTCGCATGGGCAAAAGAAGTGGAAACAAATCTTGACCTTTAGAATTCGCGACGGGTCGATGAGCTGTGAAAATTGTCATCATCGTCTTATTTAAAAATCCATTTTTTTTCTTTGGGTAACCTTAAACCTGAACTGATCTACTTGAAACCCACTTGACTTGGGTCGTTTGGGTTTGGGTATTTGGGTAAATGGGTAAAATTTTACCCAAACCCAAACGACCCGAAAATTTTGGGGTCGGGTTGGGTAGGTAAATTTTTAAAAGAAAGCCTGACCTACTTGACCTGAAATTTCGTTTGGGTACCCAAATAACCCATTTTGTATACCCATGCAGGGCTCTAATAAATACGTTCACTGAACATACATAGAGAAATGTATATGTTTACTCCCATTCTGTAGGATGCATTGACTTATTTAAAATTTAACAACATTTAGGGGTAGATAATGAAATAAAAAAACGGTTTTATTAGTATAAGGGTAAGAATTTCTCAACTGCGCATATGAAATTTTCGATTTTCTTCAAACTCGGCTCGTAGAGTTTGGCTTGGTTATCATCTGTGATTTTTTTTTTAAATTTTTTGGTGTCCTTTTAGGGGCGCTATGAATTTTTGAAGTTACGAACTTAAAAAATGTTCTCAAACTTTAAGGCTTTGAAAAATTAAAATTACAATCTGAAACAAAAAATTTTTTCAAAGCCTACCCTCTTAACATTAGGAAAATCCATCGATTTGTATGGCAGCTATATAAAGGGACGGTGGTAAAATTATGATATTAATATATGTGCATTAGGGCGGTCCACATTTGTATGGACATTTTTAAGGTCCTACACTCACCCGCTTATACGGTGCGCATTGTGGTATTCAAGGAATACCAAAAGAAAATTTTTAAAAAAATCGTGTTTTAGGGTCTGCGAATTGGTTTCAAAGTTTATCACCCATACGCACTGTTGCCTTCGATCAAAAAGATTTTCTGATCAAGGTGGCATAGATATT